CCCCCCCCCCCCCCCGCCCAGCCTGGTGCGGTCCGCTGTCCCGCAGGAAGTCTCCCACCACCCGCAGTCTGCCATGGGGGCACAGACGCTGACAGACAGTCCCTCAGAAGGCTCCAAACCCTCACCTGCATGCAGATTCTTGTCTTCTGCTTTTAGGTTGGGGTTAGTATCCCGGAGAGCACAGAGCTGCCAGTGGCAAGGGTCCAAGGGCAGGACTTGTTCTGTTCAGAGCTCCTCCCATCTGTCTTCCTCTCCTTCTGGGTTGTCCCCTGTCACCACGAACTAGGTTGGCTCCCGGGCTCTGCCCTGAAGAACCTGTGGGCTCCTCCTCCTGTTAGTTTTCTTCTGCTGCTCATCTGCAGTCAGCTCCTTTCATTCCTTCAGGCCGGAGGGCAGAGATTCTACCCCTTTCCTACACACAGAGTCATGGTGGTCACCTTCCTGAGGCTTAAGGAGCCGTTGTTAGTTCCCTGCCACCTTGCACTCGCTTTTTACTTGTGGTAAGTTCAGTGAAGAACCTCAGGTTTAGACTGAATATCCGTAGTATCATCTAGTTGAAGCCATTTAGCAGTGCCTTCGGTTTCCTAGAACAGTATTTCCTGCTCTCCTGGCTGTATGCTTTTGGAGTAGAGAGGCCTTCTCCACATAACAGAAGAAGCTGTTCCTGTACGCAGCTCGCAGTCTTGTGAGATGTACATGGCACCTGCAGCAGTCGCCCAGGATGATCTGCTCGTGTCTTGCTTTGAGTGACATATATTTAAAAGTGCGCCCCCAAATCATCATCATCATGTGCAGTGTGAATGTTTTATTTATGCAGCTGTGCAGGCAGAAGTGAACATTGCTTTTAAAGCAGCCTTCCATTCCCCTCCTTACTCCTTTAGTTCACGGTGCAAGCTTGGAAACAACCCCTGATGCCTGCACTTGTGTCAATGAATCATATTGCATTGTTCTTTGCATTTTATTAACTGACCGACATTGTTATTTGACAAGTTGTAAGGATACATATCATCTTTTCTGTGTGTACATGCTTGTGTGTGCCCACATGTGTGTGTACTGGAAATGGACTTTCACACTGAGCTACATCCCCAGCTTTTTGTTTTTTGAAACAAGGTCTGTCTAAATTGCCCAGTATGGAGTCAAACTCGGAATCCTCCTGCCTCAGCCTACCAGAGTGCTGGGATTTCAGGTGTGTTCCAGTATAGCTATGGTAGAGAAATGGTGGTAACTAGCGTTCATAGATGACTATACAGACAGTTGCACATTTGAACCCAAGCTGTCGAGTCTGCACACACTGAACCAACACAGTGTGTGTTTGCGTGGTTTATTCTGGACTAGGACCTTTGCAGACCTGAGACTCTACAGTGTTAAAATAAAAAGTGGCAGGTTAGTGAATTGCCATTTGACCGAGGAACCAGACTTTTTACTTTGATTTGGCTTTTTGAAGGAGAGACTTTCCTATTTCAAGGCCTATTGATTGACGATAAAGCAGTTCTTTCTTTGATTTTTTTTTTTAAGTTCCAAGTTATTGCTAATATCGTATTTTAGATTTCTTCCTCTTTTCAAGATACACTTTTTAAGGGCTGGGAATTTAGCTCAGCAGTGCCACCACCTGCCGCAAAAGTAAAAGGTCCTGAGTTCAGTCTGCAGTACAAAAAGAAAAGAAAAGAAAAGTAAAAAAAAGTTTTTAAAAATCCCATTTCTCTCTAGTGCTTTTCCAGATATACTTTTTGGTTAGTGTAAATTTATTTGCTTGATGAGTGTAAGTAGTCCTATCAGTTCATCTTGATAAAAACAATATAGGCCTTGGGCAGATTTTGATTTTAATAGGTTCACAGATAATTGAGTGAAAAAAATGTAAGATTTTAGTATTAGAATCAGAATATAAGATCTTCCTATTTAATGACTGCAAATAACATACAGATTCATAATGTTTAGACTAAAACAGAAAATTTTGGATTTTCCAGAAATACTTTTAAGTATTAAAAAACCTTCTCATTCATTAGGGCCTTTTGTTGGCTTTACCTAAATACAGATAGCACCCTGTGCCTGGAGCCTGCCTGCCCACAGGGGAGACTCTGGTCTTGAGGGTGTGCACTTTGTTAACTGGACAGTGGGATTAGGGTTTGTCCCAGCTTTGTGCTGATGCTGGTGCTGGTGCTGAACTCATAGCCCTGTTTTTTACATAGCAGTCTTTAACCTTTCCAAGAGTTGTAGGAGGGCTGGGGAGGTTTAGTTCAGTGGATCCGCCGCCTGCCTTTGCAAGTGGAAGGTCTCAGGTTGAATCTCTAGTACCCCCCCACACAAAAAAAGAAAAAAAAGAGCAAAGAGTAGCTGGAAATAGCACAGGTTGCAAATGAATGGAATGAAAGGCCATCAGTTTTTTGAAAGATCACCCTCCAGGTTACATTTTGATTTCTAATACTGTTAAATTTATAGAGGAGATATTTAAAATTGTAAATCAGGCCTTTTCCTTAGTATATCATAATATTGTTTTAAAAACTGTAATAAAAAGCTTAGACTGGAAATCTTAGTATCTTCTTTAAAAAAATGTTGATTCCTTATCTAGTTCCATGAATTATCATCATACCTTTGATAGTGAAATTTAGTTGCCCACAGGGTTGTCACTGTTCTTAAGTGTTTTCCTAAGGCTACAAAACTTTTTTCCTAATTAAAAGAATTAAATTTAACCCAGGAAGTAAGTGTGACTTGGGTGCTGAAAAGCACAGAAAGTTGTGTAAGAAAATGAAGGAAGACTCAGATAAGTTTCGGGGGTGGTAAAAATGTTGTGAAATTAGTGATGATTGTACTAAAGAGGCTAATGGTTTATTTACTTTAAAAGATAAATTTTATGGAATGTAAATAATTGCTTAAGGCTGTTACTTATAAAAGGGGGAGATTTATTTTATAAATATTTAAAAATACTTTTGTTTTAGATTCTGACTAAGATATGGGGGAGGCATAAATATCCATTTAAATTTTCGTTATCACAAACTGTATGTAGGTATTGGAATCTTAAAATGATGGCTTCTCATATATGAATATACACAGGACTTTGAATTTTTACCTGTCAACTTTCATGACTTAACTTTGAATCTTTTTTCTTTGTATTTTGGTATGATCTCAAAAAACAAGACATGCTTCCTTTTTTAAGGAGAAAATATTTAAACTGAACTCTTCTCAATGCATGAAATTTCATTTTGGTAAGACTTGAAGAAAGTTGAAATCATGGGCCCGGGATTCAGCTCAGTGGTGCTGCCACCTACCTCGTTTGCGCAGGGTCCCGAGTTCGACCCCTGGTAACAAAAATTAAAAAAAAAAAAAAATGTTGAATTCATACTCAAGAATTTTTAAGTGTAGTCCTGAAATAATATGCATTAATTTTACATTAAGAAGATACATAGATTACTCATGGTATTGGCAAATATCTATGTTTTGAAATTAAAACATTTCCTATTTTGATATAAGTGGTGGGAAATAGATGATAAAGAATAACATGATGAATTTACTTTCATAAGTTTGTCCATGTATTATTTCAGAAAGTTTTGTGCTTAGCCCAAGACAGTTGTAATCTGTAGATGTCAGCTTTCTTGCAATGTATTTTGTTTGTGTGTGTGCGTGTGTGTTTTTTGGTATCACGGATTGAACTCAGGACCTTATTCTTATAAGGCAGGTGGCAGCACCACTGAACTAAATCCCCAGCCCCCTTGCAATATTTATTTTTAATGTCTGAGAAAACATGTTTTAAAAATGTATAATTTGTAATCTACTTTAGAAACCCTCTTCCCCAACAATTTTGGTAATTTCTATGCTTTTCTTTGAAACAGGACCTGGAAATAGTGTATTCCTACTTACACGGTATGGAAGCCTTGTCCAACTTGAGAGAGCATCAGCTAAGGTATGTCATTTTAATGTGACAGCAGTGCATGTGTTCACTTATCATTAAGTAGCTTAGAGAAAACATACTAATGAAATTGCTTCTTCTAACTTTTCGTAAGTTTTAAAAAGTTGAATTCATTTTCATTTTTTTTTCACATTTCTGTTGTAGTAATAGTCCTTGACATCTCTTCATTTAGAGTCTTCTCTTTGACTGAAAGTAGTAAATTCCACTTCAGTGAACACCCCAGAAGGGTGTCTGTTGCTTACCTTCTCGGCAAATGAAAGTACACTACTTGGTGCTGAGATCCCTGGTTTCTTCTATTGGAGAGTCTTAGCACTGCACTGAGCGGTCCACCTTCCTCCGGGAAACAGTATGTCCTATACTTGTTTCAGTGGGGTCCACTCATGTAAAATTTTCTTCACTTCTCTGCTTCATAATAAAGAACAGAAGTGATTTTGCCTTAATTGTATGTAATAAAAAAGACTCTGTAATAAAGGACTCTGGAAGGTGGATTGCATGTTTGCTCCAAGAGGGCAGGGTGGGAAGCCTTGTTCCCTCCAGCTGTGGCCAGTCATGCCAGTGCTTGCTGATCACAGGAGTGTTTCTCTTGTCCTGGTACTTCTCCTTTACTCTTTAAACGCTAATTAATTTTTGAGCACGTCAGTTTCTTATTTTGTTGTTAATTGAAAAAGGTATCAGGAGGATTGAGTGCTTCTAAAGTTAAGTTTTTAATGGAAATCATTTGAATTAAAGTAGATTGCAGATTAAGTGTTTAAGAATTCAGTCAAGTTTTATTAGAAAGGGCAAAACCATTGGGATTTTAGAAGATGGCTCAAATTAAAACAAGAGTAAGTTTTTCATTTGATATTTTATGCTGACAACTTTTCCAAGATTTAGTAGAATTGTTTAATTAAATGCAGCAGTAATTAGTTCAAATGCAAATGTAATTAGTTCAAATGCAAATACAAAGGTCAGATCCCTTTGTGTACCTACAGGAAACTACACAAATGGATAATTTAGATATGTTGATTGTATGTTTAATATATGTGGCTGTAAAATGGAATTTTTTGCCATAAAGGACTTTTAATACTTTTTCCAAATTTCTAAATTACAAAAGTAGAAAAAGGAAATACAGTGACATTCCATACGCCATCAACCAGCTTCAGAATTAACTTTTTTGCCATTTCAAAGGTAATTTTTGTTTAGAAATGACCAATTCAAGGGTGTGGTATAGTCTATTTAAATCTTAGAAAGTCTGTTTCGGAGTTTGACATATTTGTTTGTTGGCATGGATTTATCTCGTGCAGCAGTGTTGAGAAGTCGTATTCGTGGACAACGTCCAGCTTGCACTTAGTTGGTTTTCTAAGAACAGCATGAGGATACCAAATGAATTATAGCAGAGATTGAGGTACACATCAACCTGGTGACTTGAATAAGCTGATTTATGACACGTACTCCCATTTCGGGAAAAATCGATACATCTCTTTTAAATAAATTATTTTGTATGAATTTTTAAAGTAAATTTTACCCAGAGTTAGTAGAGAACTGTCAGTTTAGACTTTCATATAGCACAGTTTTCCAATTTTAGAAAGTAAAATGCTCTCCATGGGGATGTTAGACCTGGCTGCTGGGCAGTGGGCCCTCCCTCTCCCCGCCCCTCAGTCCCTGCCCCGTCCTGGCTTCTGCACCCGGCAGTGCCTGGCTGAGCTCTGCACCCTAGGTTCTCTTAGGAGCCAGGTATTTTTCAACACTGTTTGAGCTGTTTTTTAAATGTTCATCGAGACCGGGAGCAGCATTTTTGCTGAACAGGAAAATGCTGCAATGCGAAGCCAAGACCGGTGAGCATGTGCTCGCAGCTGTTGAGTGTGTATTGTTGTTTGCTTGGGGATTGAACCCCGGGCCTTTTATGTTCCAGGCAAGCTCTTCACCGCTGAGCTATGTCTTTGCTGGGCCCTATTTAGCATTGGAAACAAGAGCCTGCTGAAAACACTTGTCTTCTTCATCTTTATAGATGAGTGTCATTAGTTTATAGGTGCCTTTCGATCATTTTATTTTACAAATTCAGCGGAGATCCATGTCCTTTTGTTGAAACATTTGCTAATATTGGAGACAAAACCTTTTCAGTCCTCTTTTCTTTAGGGCATTGTCAGAGGAGACAGTTTGCCATGACTTTCTGACAGCCTTGGTTACATTTATTTTCCCGGTAAGTGTTTATTGAGTGATGCTCACTGAGTGCTGGATGCTGACGGAGACTGGGGAGGTCACTGACACACAGACCATGCCACTCCTCTGCTTGTGTGGCCACTGCAGGGACAGTCAGGGCAGACATTAGTGGGCTGGAGCGGCTGCTCTGACCTTGGAGCCTGTGTTGGTGGCATTTGAGGTGGAGCAGCCACTCAGATGTGTGCAGGGAAGCGGTGTCGCAGTTGCTCCTGAGAGCACGGTTTGTCCGTGCTGTGCCGTGCTGTGGGCATAGCATAGCCAGTAGGGTTAGAGGAACTTGGGTTCTCTTCCCCAGAAGGTGGTTGTGGGCCGACATGTGAGGTGACCTGCTCCCAAGTGTGGGGAAGACTGCTCTGGAAGGTGAGTGAGGAGTGGACAGCAGGAGCTCAGAGTGGACGCATCCATCTGCACTAGGGTCCAGTAAGAAGCGATAGCCACATACTGATGGCTCGGTGGGGTTTGAGCAGAGCAGACAGTTGTCTTAAATGTTTTCTCACTGCTGGGACAAAATGCCCAGTACTCACAAGCTAAAGGAATAGAGGTTTCTTTTGGCTTGTTGTTTATAGAGAGGTTTCAGTCCACAGTGGCGATTCCCAGGCAGGGTGGTCCAGAGGAGAAGCAGCTTGCGGCACAACCATTGAGGAGTAGGGTCACCTGTACACACCCTTCCAGGCCTCTCCCACAGCCTCACACCCCCAGCAAACCCATCAGGGCACAGGTCTGGTCTGTCACCTCCCCATGGCTACACCCATAGCTGCCTGAGGCTTTGGGGGAAACATGTAACTATGAAGCACACCAGTGGTGGCTTGGTCAGTTCTACAGGATGAGTCTTGGAAACAGGTGCCAGAAGAAAGATGGATGTGAAGGAAATGGGACAGAATGATGACTCCAGCTTAGCCTGGACCCTTGGGTGCTGATTTTGGGAAAGTAGATGTTAGGTGAGAAATTCAAGCTCCGTGTTGGACATTGGAAATGTGAGGTGGCTCATTTAATTGGCTGCATCTTGGTCTGGAGCATTGCTTTGGAAGCCATCAGTTCCTGAGTTCCCCGTAAGACTCCTGGAAGGTCGAGGAGGCTGGCAGCACTGGAGGTGACATGCAGGGTCACTGGAGGACAGAGCAGGAGAATCCAGTATGACTGGGAGTTAAGTGGACACCAGGAAGCCCGAGACAGCAAGCTGACAGAGCTTTCTGTGAGGAAAGGCAGGTAAGCACAGGTGGGACTTAGAGAATAAGGAGGGAGCAGCAACACCCAGAGCCTTTGTTCTGCATTTCATGGAGAAAATGGAGCGGGGTGGGGTAGGGGATGTAGACAACTCTGAAAAGAGATTTTCTGTAAGGAGGAGAGCAAAAGGTCTGTACTGACTGAAGAGAGGCTGGGTTGGAAGCAAGCATCCCATCGCCAGTAGGGGCGCTGCTGAGTGTCTTTGTTAGTGGAGGGTCTCAGCTTGCAGGAGCATGAAGGGGCCAGGAAGGGGCAGGCAAAGAGAATGAGCAGGCTGCCCTTCTCAAGACCAGTATTCTTAGGCTCGTCGCTGTGCCGTCACACTTTCCTGTGAAGAATTTGCTTCTGTCTCCTGGAGTTAGGGGCTTTTGGTGGGGGTGTTTGGGATAGCGACCCCTGAAGAGCTATTCAGGAACAGCCGTCTTCCTGCTTGAGGATGGCCCTGGTGTACCGTAAGGACAAGGTCCAGGATTGCTCCACGGGCTGTTCCTGTGGAGCTCTCTGAGAGAGATGGGGTCCAGAGGGCACAAGACTCGGGGCTCCATGGTTTGGTCAGAAGGAGGGACGCAAGTGACTGCATCTGGGCTGCGATGTACATGGTTTGTCTTACTAGTGCCAAAGGATCCTCTACATTGCTGATAGCGTCTAGATCGTAAAGCTCCACGTACCACTCTATGGCTCTGTCTGTTGACAGTGCTGGGAACTGCAGGGAAAGCCAACTGGCTCCTGGGGGCCGTGGTCCTGTCCGTCTGGTGTTCCCTGCAGTTCGGGGGGAGTTGGAAAAGCAAAGAAGAAGAAAATGGGCTCAGCACACAGGAAAGATGGCTGTAGACTGACACAGTGTGACACCGGCCGGAGAAGAGGTGGAGGCGCTGACGAGTCGGTTACAGCCAGCTCTTCTGTGTACTAGCCTTCACAGGAAGCAGTAGAGACTCTGATTTGCACTTTTGAACATACTGTTGTGACTGGTGCAATAGGATGCTTTTTGATGGTGCTGTTCTTGATCTAATTTTGAATATCACTCATGATTTCATAATTTCACAGTTTTTTCCTTTGGGATGAATTAGCTGCAATAACAAATCCTAAGGCTTGCATTTAGTCATTGGTCATAAAAATACTGAATTAGTAAAAGTGTGCTTTTGTCTGAGATTCCATGGTAGTAACATTAATGTTGAGCTGCGAGTGACGATATTGCTTTTTAAATTAATAATTGGTGTTTCTTTCCAGCTTTAGGGCTCCCTCTCACTCTCTGTACCTCAGGGAACATTAATTTGGCCACATGCCATCTCCAGAGTATAAAATACATACTGCTAAATCAGCATGGCAAAGCTGACATCTTACAAGATGTTTTTTTTCCTAGCATATTGTTTTATTTAATTTTGTTAACATAAGTATGGTTAATGTATATCTTGAGGCTAATAAATGATTATAATGAGCCATTTAAATACTCTTTAACTTTCAAGACTACATGATTTATTTAACTTTTAAAGTCTTGGTGTGTTTTTAGTAACAGATGTTGAACTCATTTCTTTCTCCCTTTTGCAGGTTAATGTGTGAAACTGTGAGATATGAAAGACACGAAGCAAATGAAGTTTTATACTAGTAGGTGTTTCTTTTCCATTTGTACGATGTATAATGCAGTGACTGAATTTCCTTAAAGTATCAAAGAAGTATTAGTAACAGCTGGCTAAGTCAGCGTTGCCGGGTTTTTGCTTTAAGTTACTTTTTAGAAATGTGGACCATTTCAGCTGTGTCCCGTTGTAAAATAAGAGTTCCCAGTCCTTTCCTGATGGGTCCCCACTACCTCTCTCTGTTAAGTGGGGTTGGAGACACCACTGCGCACTAGGAGTCCTTGTCATCCTCACTGTCGTGAAGTATGAACTAGTGCACCGTCTTTCAAACAGCACTAAACAAGCATTCCCATGGCCACGCTGGGTGAGGAGTGCAGATGGCATACGTGTTGTGGGTGTTTTAGTCTGAACTGCTTTCAGAAGCAGGAAGATAGCTGCTGCATCTCTTTTAAAAACTTTACTGATATCCCTCAAGATACATAACGTATTTCATACGGAATGACTGCCGCGCGTGAAGCGTGTGGCACACACACAGCAGGTGGATGGTGCGTTAGAGAGACACATGGCCTGCGACCTGTGGGAGGTGCTGTCTGTCGGCTCGTGTTTGCCACGATAACTGCTCTGTTGACTTTGCTTCCTGTTCTTCAAACCCTCCATGACTATCCCTTCTGGGCCTGTGACAGGGAATACATGTTGAATAAATAAATACATCTTCTGCCCCTGAGCTGAGAAGGGAGGTAGAGATAGGAAAAAGGAAAATGACAACAAACTAGCGAACCACAACAACTGGGAGCTTAGGTTTGTACCGGGGTTGGGAGAGGGCCGGGAGGGAAGCAGGGGTACCTTGGAGCCATGTGCCTTCTGGACTGGCTGTCCGGGATGTGTTTGTCCAAGAAGCGGTATGTGCAGAGACGTGCACGCAGGCCCAACTCCGTGCGACAGGCCTATGTGGGTCAGAGGACAAACTCGTATTCACGCATATGTGAGTGTGTTGGAAAATGGTCTCAGTTTTTCAGGCAATTACAAGCGAGTTTCCCCTCCTGAGCTGCTACTCACCTATGTCGGGAGTCATGAACTTGTGACCAGGGATGGTGGACCCCAGTACTCAGCACCCGACAGTTCAACTCATAGCCGAACAATTCTGCCTCATCTTTCTGTCCCTCTCCCAGCTGCAAGTGGCTCATTTAGAACCAACCCAGACACCCTGTCCAGTCGTGTGTATCTTTGCGAGAGACAGGGTCTTGCTAAATTTCTTGCTCATCCTTGGCTTGAACTGGAACTCCTCCTGCCTCGGCCTCTCGAGTAACTGTGGTTGTAGGCATGTTCCACTGCTTCCAGCTGGGAGCATTAAAAGCCATCGGTGACGGCTTACAGACACGGCATGTGGAGGTCTGGGGTGAGCATTCCTGACTTTTACTGAAGCAGGCTAGTGGCAGTTGGTGCCGACTGATGTCTCCTGAGGTAGCTGGCAACTCTCACCCCAGTTTTACACCAGGAGAAACTCAGGCTGCCTGGCTCCATTGACTGAGCCCAGGCACCAGCGTCGTGTGGCCCTGTCTGGCCATGGCCCCTTGCAAAGCGGTGTCTGGTTCCTGGTAAGCACTCGCCCTCCCCCCTTGTCCGCATGCTCCCTGGGCTCTGTCTGTGTCCTCGTCCTCAAGTGTGGCTCTGTTGTGCGCTGCCGCCTGTGACTAATCTGCAGAGATGCAGTAGTGGAGCCCGTGGAGGTTGGCGGGCCTCCCAAACCCTGCCGAGCACCCTGGATGTGGAGCTGCGCGTGATCGTGGTGACTGCTCACCTCGTGCAGTCCAAGCTGGCTCACGGCCCTGACCTGAGCAGTGGAAAGCCAGTGGTGGCCCGCGAAACCGGGCTAATGAAGGCCGGGGTTCAGACGAATCCCAGAGCGGCACGATCAGCTCCTGGTGTGGGGCCGGTCTTGTGATGACATGTGACTGTGTGTGTGAGTGCCCGTGTTGGGTATGCAGGCGTCCATGAGAGCCCATATGCTTCACTGAGCCGCGTTGAGCGCAGAGCGCAGAGTGGCAGCCCAGGGGCAAGCGGTCATTTTCCTGTTAGGTTTGGGTGCTGGTGACTTCTCGGTCAGCACAGCACTGCTTTCCAGTCCCCCTCTGTGGAAGCAGGGCAGGGCCTGCGCTTGGCGTGGCACGGTACAGTGCTCGCATAGCTGCACACGTGACGTCACCAGCTTGTTTCACAGTGTGGGCTTTTGTCTGCCACCTGTTTTAGCTGCTTTAAACTTTCTTTCGTGCCCCTCTAACTCTCAGAGTCCTCCTATTTTAATGCAGGGTAACAAAATGACAAGAATGCCCTTTTACGGTGTATTGAGGTGGGGAGATTGTAATTCTGTTAAGATGCATCTTTCAAAATGTGGAATTCACCATTTAGAATTGATTTGTTTGCATTAGAAAGTTAGAATTGTTGAACTTTATACAGTGGAAAAGACTGTCTGGTAATTTCTGCTTTTCTTTCATTTATTACATAATATATGTTTGATATTGTCTTGGGAAAATTTCTAAACTGACGGGCCTTAATTTAGAGTTGCTCTAAGAATTTAACTGAAACAATATTCACATGAATGTGGAAAAACTGTATAAAGAATTCTTCTTTGCTTCTTTTTCTTGTAAAATATTTCATCTCCTTTCCTTTCTTACCCAGAAAGACATAACCAGTATTTTGAAGTATCTTCCCTGTTCATGTTGTCATAGTTTCAGTAGTACTTGTTTGTGTGTGTAAAGGAAATGGTGAAACTGAGGTTCAGTTTACTTGAAAAAACTATGTCTTTAAAGAATAAGCCTTTGCACTGAATTTTTGGACATAGTATTCAACATGTTATGTCATGAGTACATGCTCTTTGTGAGTGTGAAAATTAGTGCGCACTCACACACATATTCCAAGAATTGCTTTATGTATCATGGTGATACCCCAAGGCTTTTTTTTTTTTTTTTTTTTTTTG